GGGAGGGGGGGGGGGCGTACTAGACTTGCTCAATTTAAATCAATAAGAAAAGAGAAACATTTTCAACCGATTGTTAAATGAATCTATAAAATATTAACCAAAATTATAAATGTTAATGACCGAAAAGTATTTATTTTTGCATTTTTGTATGAGTTGGACTTCCCTGAAACATGATAGTGAAGTCCTTCAGATATTTTACAGAGGTATTAGTGCACAGTGAAAAGAAGAGGGATGGGAGATAGTCAAAGAACACAAACTCTTGAGGGGTGGGGGAGTTGTAGGCTTGTATACGTTAATTTACGTTAACTTACTTGAGGGGATAAAGATTATTTAAAATAATGAAATTAATAAATCCAGAGAGGATTAGATAAAAGAAGAAACATTTCAATTGAAATCAGATTCGGGTTTAATAGGTGTTTGCAGACTCTGATTTCAAAATACACAATTTTAAACAGTTATCTTTAAAAATGGAATGCCTTTGATGGCACAAGTCTAATTTATGCAAGGAATTCATGAATACAAAAATGTAAGCAATATATGTACGCATCCCGTACTCCCCCCCCTCCAGCCATAAATTATGCGTATACGCATTAATGGCGTCACCTGTACAAGTTATACGAGTTTGCATTAATGTTTCCCCGCTTGGTTCCTAGATTTTTCATGAAACCAATCTCACGCCTGGTTCCTAGATTTTTCATGAAACCAATCTCACGCTTGGTTCCTAGATTTTTCATGAAACCAATCTCACGCTTGGTTCCTAGATTTTTCATGAAACCAATCTCACGCTTGGTTCCTAGATTTTTCATGAAACCAATCTCACGCTTTTCAGCTTTTTACACTGCAAATAAAATCTTGAATTGATAGTTTTCTACTTCGCTTTGTAAAATTTCAAATTTCATTAATTTCCGAAAATTTTTATTTTTAGGTTATTGTGATCCTGCTCAATACAGATGGTAACTCATCTCGAGAATAAAAGAGATTAATTTCTAGTGATAAACTTTCATTCCGTAACTTTACCAACCTGTGATCCTATGCAGTTACCAACCACGTTCAGATCTCTAGGAAGAACAGAAAACTGATGCTATCAGTTCTTTAAAAAAAAGAGAAAAAAGAGGAGAAGAGATGCGGGTTTAGATCAAACTTTGTTGTAATGAGGGATTAGAAGAAACTTTCAGGTACTTCTTATAGTTTCTTTGATCTAGTTTTACTTCAATCGTCGCTTTATTAAATATTTTCCTTAAACTGATCGTCAATTCTTTTTTAAATTCAATTTTATTTTTATTTTTTTATTTTCAAAGATTAATTTTTACACATATCCTAAAAAAGCTTTTCGATCCAATCAGTTAATTGCAATTGTGCATAAATTTTAAGCACATGTTGCTTCCCCCCCTCTCCCCGGTTTTGAATACATGAACTGTATTTCTCCATAATATTCCTTGACATTAAGTATTCAATGTTTACCCCCCAGTCCAGTGTATAAGGATATTATATACATATTGTTGAATGGATTGATTGATTGATTGCTAGATGATTATAAATTGAATTATTGAATAATTATTGTTTCTCGCTCCACCTCCCCTACCCCATATTCACCTCCCTCGAACTATTTACATAGATTACAGGGTACAGTTTACTCAAGATGTCCACCCTTTACACCTTACCCTCTACACACCTTACCCTGTAAATAGATCACAGGCTACAGTTTCCTCAAGATGTCCACCCTTTACACCTTACCCTCTACACACCTTACCCTTTACATACCTTAACCTTTACACACCTTACCCTCTACACATAATCACAGGATACAGTTTACTCAAGATGTCCACCCTTTACACACCTTACCTTTACACACCTTACCTTTTACATACCTTAACCTTCACACACCTTACCCTCTACAAATAATCACAGGATACAGTTTACTCAAGATGTCCACCCTTTACACACCTTACCTTTACACACCTTACCCTTTACATACCTTAACCTTTACACACCTTACCCTCTACAAATAATCACAGGATACAGTTTACTCAAGATGTCCACCCTTTACAAACCTTAACTTTACACACCTTACCTTTACACACCTTACCTTTTACATACCTTAACCTTCACACACCTTACCCGCTACAAAGATCACAGGGTACAGTTTACTCAAGATGTCCACCCTTTACACACCTTACCTTTTACATACCTTAACCTTTACACACCTTACCCTCTACAAAGATCACAGGGTACAGTTTACTCAAGATGTCCACCCTTTACATTTTACCTTTACACACCTTACCCTTTACATAGAACACAGGATACAGTTTACTCAAGATGTCTACCCTTTATACCTTACCTTTTACACACCTTAACCTTTACATAGATTACAGGGTACAGTTCACTCAAGATGTCCACCCTTTACCTTTAACCACCTTACCCTTTAAGTAGGTTACAGGGTACAGTTTACTCAAGATGTCCACCCTTTACACCTTACCCTTTACATAGATTACATGGTGCAGTTTACTCAAGATGGCCACCCATTATCCCTTACCCTTACCCTATACATAGATTACAGGGTAAAGTTTACTCAAGATGTCCACCCTTCACACCTTACCCTTTACATAGATTAGAGGATACAGTTTACTCAAGATGTCCACCCTTCACACCTTACCCTATACATAGATTACAGGGTAAAGTTTACTCAAGATGTCCACCCTTCACACCTTACCCTTTACATAGATTAGAGGATACAGTTTACTCAAGATGTCCACCCTTCACACCTTACCCAATACATAGATTACAGGGTACAGTTTACTCAAGATGTCCACCCTTCACACCTTACACTTTGCATAGATCACAGGGTACAGTTTACTCAAGATGTCCACCCTTTATACCTTACCCTTTACATAAATCACAGGGTACAGTTTACTCAAGATGTCCACCCTTCACACCTTACCCTTTACATAGATTACTGAGTACAGTTTACTCAAGATGTCCACCCTTTATACCTTACCCTTTACATAGATTACAGGGTACAGTTTACTCAAGATGTCCACCCTTCACACCTTACCCTTTACATAGATTACAGGGTACAGTTTACTCAAGATGTCCACCCTTTATACCTTACCTTTTACACACCTTACCCTTTACATAGATTACAGGGTACAGTTCACTCAAGATGTCCACCCTTTATACCTTACCTTTTACACACCTTACCCTTTACATAGATTACAGTTTACAGATTATTCAGGCTCTCTACCCTTTACACCTTACCTTTACAGTTACACACCTTACCCTTTACATAGATTAAAGGGTACAGTTTACTCAAGCTGTCCACCTTTTACATCTTACCTTTAACACCTTACCCTTAATGCACTGTTTACTCATGCTGTCCGCCCTTTACACCTTACCCTTTACACCCCTCACCCTTTACATAGATCACAGGTTGCAGTTACACAAGCTGTCCAACCTTTTGCACCTTACCTTTACACCTTTTATTTACACCTTTCCTTTACAATTTACCTTTACACCTTACCTTTCCACCTTATCTTTCCACCTTATCTATCCACCTTATCTTTCCACCTTACCTTTCCACCTTATTTTTACACCCTACCTTTACACGGTACACCTTTTATTTACACCTTGCTTTTGAACCTTTAAATCCAAATGAAAAATTTTAAATCTATTTTAAATCTCAACTTAATTTCTTATTCTCACCTATCTCCTGCTGTCCTAATCTTCTCAATTATTTATGCTCATCAGCACTAATCTCTTTATACTCTTCATCAGCAGTAATGACTCATCATAAACATTCTTTCTTTCCTTCTTGTTTCTTTCTTTGCAATTTCAATTCTTCTTTTATATTTTTTCCTTTAATTTCCATTTTCTTTTCTTGTTTGCTGCATGAGTCATCATCTCCTTTTTTCTGCTCACTGGTTGACAGGCCGGCCTAAGGTGGGGGGAAGGGGGGGGACTACCCCAAATCACGGACTTACATTTTTGAAACCCTGTATTGTTCTTTTATATCTTTTCTTCATTTTCTCCAGTCCCCCTCCCTTGTTTTGCAAAACTTTCTTATTGTATAAAATCTCCAATAGATGACATAAGTAATAGTTATGTTTCGATCATAACAATTTCTTTTAAAGTAAACAATTCTAAACCTGTCACTAATCCCAGCAAAACGAGCTAGACGCGGAATTAACTCTTCTTACATTTACTGACTCAACACTTAATGAAAGCAATTGTTTATGTTTTTGTAACGGGAGGCGAGATATTGGTTTTGACCCCAAAGTCACCATAAGGTAAACTGCGATGATTAATATTGAGGAAAAGCTTTATTCATTATTTTAATTATCTTTCCAAAAAAAACTTCCTTGTGGAAAAAATAGGGTTTATTATAAATTTTTGCTAATTCTGCTGCAACTTTTTTTGTAAAAATTTTTAAATTGTGGATATAAAAGCTTTTTAAAAGTGGTGTGGACTGTGTGGAAACTAATGTTTAAAGATTAAAATGCTAACCCCCCTGTGAGGAAACTAATGTTTAAAGATTAAAATGCTAACCCCCTGTGTGGAAACTAATGTTTAAAGATTAAAATGCTAACCTCCCTGTGTGGAAACTAATGTTTAAAGATTAAAATGCTAACCTCCCTGTGTGGAAACTAATGTTTAAAGATTAAAATGCTAACCCCCCTGTGTGGAAACTAATGTTTAAAGATTAAAATGCTAACCTCCCTGTGTGGAAACTAATGTTTAAAGATTAAAATGCTAACCTCCCTGTGAGGAAACTAATGTTTAAAGATTAAAATGCTAACCTCCCTGTGTGGAAACTAATGTTTAAAGATTAAAATGCTAACCTCCCTGTGAGGAAACTAATGTTTAAAGATTAAAATGCTAACCTCCCTGTGAGGAAACTAATGTTTAAAGATTAAAATGCTAACCTCCCTGTGTGGAAACTAATGTTTAAAGATTAAAATGCTAACCCCCCTGAATTGAGGTTGCAGATATTGGTTTTGAATATAGATATCGGTTCCTCACAACTGCATTTATAAGAAATTATTATTTAATATACCATGGAATTAAAAGAAAGGATGTATTTGGGTGAAAGAGAGGATGAAAAAAAGATGAAAGAAATGATGAAAGATAGGGAAAGGAGGGATGTATTTTGGTGAAAGAGAGGATGAAAAAAGATGAAAGAAATGATGAAAGATAGGGAAAGGATTAAAGAAAGAACGAAAGGAATGACAAAAAAGGGTTAAACGAAAGGTTGAAATGAAGGCTGAAAGAAAGAGGTAGGTAAAAAGATGAATTGATGAATGAATGAATCATGATCAATAAATGTATTTTTAGATATAAATGTATTTATAGGTATCTAAATAAATGCATTTTTAGATATCTCAATAAATGTATTACTAAATAAATAAATGTATTTCTAGATAAATAAATGTATGTTTAGGTAAATAAATAAATTATTATAAGATGAATAAATGTTGTTCTATAAAAATAAATGTATTTCTAGATAGATAAATGTATTTCTAGATAAACAAATGTATTTCTAGATAAATAAATGTATTTCTAGATAAATAACTGTAATTCCAGATAAATAAATATATTTTTAAATAAATAAATGTTATATTCTAGGATGGATGAGGAAGGGAGCAGTGTAAGGGTTGCTGTAAGGATTCGTCCTCAGCTCTCAAGGAAACCAAACCAAACCAAACCATACCAATCAAACCAAACCAAACCAAACCAAACCAAACCATGATAAATCATTTTAAAAACACCACTTGAAAATTTCCTTTTGCTTTTAAGTTGAATTTGTTTACGTCAAACAGAAAATAATATTTTTTGTTTGATAAAAATTCCTAAAATTTAATTTTGTTTATTTTTTTGTCTTGTTTGCATGTTTGTTCAATGGTAATTCATGTTTCAGCGATCATCTCTCTTATCAAACTTTTTATTTGCAATGAATTATAAAAACATGAGAATTAGCTTTCAACTTTTATAATTTATAGTAATTTTTTTTTACTGCAAGAAATATTTTGCTCAAAAATATTATAACAAATAAATGCCTTTAGACTTATCGCGAACAATGAATATTTTGATATTTAAAGGGACTGTAAGCATAATTTCAAGTGACCCTCCATGCAAAGATGGCTATGCTCGATTTAGAACGGTGCCTCCTAAACCTTATTCTGATCAAAAATGAGGAAAGTGAATATTTCTGTGAGTTTCTCCATTTCTTCTTCTAAGCAAGAAATGCGCATGGAGAAACCGCAATCGAAAAAAAAACAGTTTAAAGAAACAAAACTATTGATATCTAATTCGTATTTGATCAGGCAGAGCTTTCAAGGATAATGTTTAAACCGGGCATTGACGTCTTTGCATGAAGCATTAAATGTATAACTTTGGGTTAAAACTTGTAATAAGGGAAATTTTTCAAAGTTTGTCTGCTGACAGTTTTCTGTTCACTAAGCGTATCAACACGCACCCACGTTCACTGCACTTATAAGTGTGCAGGGGGAAATATTAATTCAATGTTTTCCATTTTTTTAATATTTAAGAAACTCTGGGATATTATATTAAAATTTTTAAGATTTTAGTAAAAGTTTTTTTCCTTGTAGTTTTTTTTTTATAATTTTTGGTGAGAATGGGACTCGAAAGAGAAGGGGGGGGAGGGTTACGCATGCATGGATCTGTTATGAAATAATTCGTGAATACAATTTTTTCAAAAGGTTTACACTAAGAAAAATAAAACAAGCTAAATAACTATCGTTGCCTTTTTAGATTGCAGAGTTTTGTTAGCCTTAATGTTAATCAAGTATTTGCTGATGGGAAAGTTATGAATATTAATATATATATTATAAAACAAATGTTTATAAAAATATTTCCCATGAAATATGTTCCTTTGCGTGTAATGAATGATGGATTGATAGTAATAGATATTCCAGAGGAACAAATATAGAAGAAACAAATTTATATATCAATTTATGTTTCAAAACAACATATCCAGTATATATACCCTTTTATAACATGGAAATTGAAGTCCTAAGATTAAAAATCATCACGTCACAAATACACAAATTTTTTAGCATTACACTGCTGACTACACATTTTCTCTAAACTTATACTTAAATATAGTGTAAACACAACACTCTCAGTAACCACGAAACCAAGACAAAAACATTACTTTTTGATATTGACAGGAATTGTTTGGGAGTAGGGTTTAGAAGTTTCATCCATTTTAATTCAAAACTTTATATTGGCAAAATATGATACTTCTTTAATAATTTGTGCATTTCTTCTTCTGTGAAAGAAAAGATCAGTGCAGAAATACAATGACAGATCGTTTAAAACAGAAGATTAGAACCTGATTTAATTGGATTGGTTTGTTGCAGAGAGATAATAGATGCATGTAAGATCTGCACTTACAAAACCCCTGGGGAACCGCAGGTAATTCTTTATATAATTATATAATATTACATCTTGCAAGTAACTACAGGGTGTCCGTTTAATTCTGACACCCTTTTAAAAAGCTATTTCTCAGTCATTTTTTGGAATTTTTACAATCTGTAAAAAGATTTGTGCGACTGTAACATGAACGTTTTGCAATATAACAAAATATTTGAAACATGTATTGCAGAAAAAGCACAAATTCAGTTTTCTTCTACACTAGTATTTCGATAGAACGTTTCACGAGCAGTTTCACCTTTCTTTGGGTAGGCGGGTAAAATAAAACTAATTTTGCATTAAGATGGCCAAGACGAAATTCGCACCAGAACTAAATTAAGAAAATGGCGGTCATTTTTAATATTTTTTAAAGAAAAAGAAGTGAATCCAGTTATAAAACAAAACGTTCAAATTTTTTTTACAGATTGGAAAAATTCCTAACCATAACAAAGTTACAGCAATTTGAAAATTGGCAAGATGATAAGGACACCCTGTAGTTCCACTACAGGAGTCAACAAAAACTTCAAACTCTATTATTTGCTCGTTTCTATTGCATACAAATTGCTGGTTAGATTTTTAATTACATTTAGAATTAAGATTAAGACACCTAATCCTCTTTTTTTGGACATTCAACTCGTGTTTAAAGCTCTTGTATGTTTTGTATTTTTTTACGATTTGTCAATTTTTATATGCCTAATTTCCCCTAATTTACTTATCTAATTATTTTATTTTTCCAATCTGGATATTTCAATCTAGTAATGTTAATATCGAAATATCAGTAAATAAATATGAAAACATAAAGGAAAAGAATATAAATTGTGCATTTAGCTAAACTAGATTTAGAAAGGAAGGAGCCAAGTCTATAAAATACAAGAAAATAGATTATTAATATAAACTTAATTAGTTCATCAGAAATACCAGGAAACCAGAGTTTAAACCGATAGTAAACTCTGAGAGGGAAACTTAAAACAAAGTTAATCTTACGAAACTGAGTTTCGTGAACTAATTTTTTGTCATTTGGTCTGTAATAGAAAAATTAATTTGGAACTGACGATAAAAAGCCTCTTTTTGTCAATGAAACTCAAGCAAAGATACCTAAATATATATTGTTTGTTTTTAATCTTTGGGACAGAAACAAACTCAAGAACTGACAATAGTCAACCCAGACCGAAATATATTTTCAATAAAAGTGGAACTAGCATCTACTTTTTTTACTCTACAGAGGTTTAGTCCATCACCATCACAAAATATCAAATTCACAGATACCTATTTTTGGCATTTTGTAACGGTTTTAGTTTCCAACTCCCACCCCAAGTAAAAGGAATGAAGGTTACCAATATAACCATATCTAGGTATATATATTATATTTGGCTGAAACATCTGGACGTTTAACATATCAATCCCCTTCATCCTTAATTAGTTTTAGCACCAAACATTCCTTATTTATCAACCTTAGTTCATCTTATACACACAGTCATCTTATACACACACTCATCTTATACACACACTCATCTTATACACACACTCATCTTAGCGTAAACAAACTTCCATGCAACGTGACCTGGACCTCCTTCATAATTTTATTACTTTACATGATGTACACAGTGTACATCTAGCCTTGTAACACTTACATATTGTACAGTACAATCAAACAAGTAAAAGCGTAATGAAAGTAATAAATTAATTCCTGCAATGGAACTTATTTGTCAAATTTTAAGTTATCGGAGTAAACTTTTACAGTTTCACACAAATGTTACGACCTCTGAAAATGTTCAGAAAAAATCAGTCTCAGCCATTACCAATTACAAAATCCTATACTACATAAATATGCAGTTGTAACCTGTCTGTTTGTTTATTTGTATGTCCGATCAGGAACAGGAACACCTTGACCGATTCGCCTCAAATTTTGATTGGGGGAACTTGGGATAACCACAGAAATGTTCTTAGCTAGGTTTAAGAGTTCTTAGTTGAATGGGTTGACTCTTATAAAAAAACTTTGTTTCCAGGGCAACGCTAGGTTCCCAAGTTAGTTTTTCATAAAACTGCAAAGCTAAGACGACCTTCATTTCACTTTTTAGTGGTTATGACTGTACATTCCAGAACTACCTTTTACATGTACAAGAAGCATGGTACAACGGTGTTTTTACCTTTACATGTACAAGAAGCATGGTAGAAAGGTGTTTTAATAGAATTGACAAGTACTCCATGTGCACCGAGTATAAACATCTTAACTTGGTAGGATTACAATGTTTTGCGAACGCTTGCTGCAAATATTCATCTTCTGCAAACATTTTCACACTTCCGCCCATGTTTCTTTGTTGAGCTTGTTTGAATTTTGCAAGGATTTGAGCCCAGCTTCCTAGTTCCTTTATTGGTTTCAGCATATTAAAGGGAGTGTTCACTTTATTCAAAACTAGCTTGAGAACCCAGAGTTGCCAAGGGTACTCATAGATACTCCCGCCGCGCCGGGACGTTACCCGCGCTTGGTCGTGAATTACGAAGTTAACTATTTTTTCCTATAAAAGTAGACCCATTTCACTTACAATCCCAAAACCAAACTATAAACATTCCCGTTGTGGTTCTCCCGAGTTCCCCATCTAAAAAAGGGTGTAAATCGGTCAAGGGGTTTCTCAGTTATGATCGGACATAGGAACAAACTCAGAGTATTATTTTACATGTGTGGTCAATAGTTTAAAATTTTAAAAGAAAAATATCTTTATAATCAAAACTTGGATTATAGTTTCAATTTCTTATTGTTATAACACTCTTAGAATTGAGAGATACTAAAATTTGCGTTAGTCTTTTTAAAAGATTCTCTCTCCAGATGGAACGTTTTTAAAGATTGCAATTTGTTTAAAATTCTATACAAGTTTACTGGTCGTTTAAGAGCTGTCCAAATCATTAAACTGAGTGAGTTGAAAAATAGGATCGAAACATAAAACAGCTTAAATCATGTTTCAAGGCTCTTATGAAATATTAATAATTACATATTTTACGATGCATTTAGCATTCTTGTTGTTATTAAAAATTAATTAATAAAACATTCATCTATATTTTCTATGGTGTAACTTCAAAAAAATTTATTTCTCCAGTTCGCAGATCATAAATGAAGTTTACACTAGAGATAAAAGAACTGAATAAAGCTATAAATATTTACAAACCCTAGAGTAGAATAAGAAACATTTACAATCTCCCCTCCCCCCTCTCTTATCTTTCGAGAATCGCGTCATCTTCGTAAACACAAAACACTTAAGAACACTGCGTATATTTTAGTTTGCGTCATAAACTTATTTAATCGTATTTTTATGCGCACAGTGCAGTGTCATCTAGATTATAGATAAACGGTTGGTTAAACAAAGTTCAAAAAAGGAGGAAATTTATGACTGAGAGAAAGATAGTTCAACTAGTTAATTCTGGTACTTCCTTAAAAGGTTCATTTCGTCTATCTTACTGGAGGACCTGGCCTTCTCTTGGTTCTTGAGACACTGAGGTGGTTCAGAATACCACTACTGAGTTTAACCCATAAATTGAACCTGCGCATTAATAAATGTTTAACTCATTGACTTGTTTCTAATCATTTTACGTCTTTGAAAAGATTCAGTTTCATAAGTAAAGGACTGTTCGTTGTTTGAAATACAATACCATTCACCAGCAAAAATTCAAGCCTCATTCACGGATTATTTTTGTTTTAAATTAGACAGTAAACCTGTAGGACATTCTACAGTTTCATTAGGCTTTATTATGCGTCATTAGGTCTATGCGTCATGGGATCTAATTATTGCGTATTGTAGGCATGGATTGGATCGGACAAATCGTTTACATACGATTTCGTCTTCGATACGGACTCGAGGCAGGAAGAGGTTTACGATGAAACTGTCAAGGATCTGATTGAGGGGTGCTTCGAAGGTAAATATCTTTTTTATTGTTATTTAAAATTTAATTAATTGCAAAATGCTTTTTCTTTTCTTTTTGGTTGTTTTATCCTCTGCAAAGGTTTCTAAACATCTTGTTTATAAATTTCTAAAGGTTTAAAGTTAGCAATCATGCCCCCTAATTATTTTAATTTTTCACTTTTTTAGTGAGAATTTACTTATTTAAATTTTCTGCTAAAAAAACTGATCTGTTAATTCTTCATGATTTTGAAAGAAACGGAAGAAATTGCTTCAATGATTCCATAAAAGGAAACTGATCTTCTCTTCAAAACCTAGTTTTTAATCATTATTCAATTATTTGAAATAATATTTCATTTCTTCTTGTTCGTTATTTCAATTTTTTGTCATGAACATTTTACCCCTCCCCCCCCTTTTCTCATGGACATTGACAGACTATAAACACATCATCAGCACTTTACTATTTCGCTTTCTTTCTTATCCCCCTGTAATAAATGAATGGTGAAAACTGAACAAAAATTATATTCATAATAATGATGATATGAAATAATTTATCATTTATTTATTTTCAGGATACAACGCAACTGTCTTAGGTTTAGAACATAGAAATATTTTTTTATATGATTGGCATGGCATTTCCAGTGCCCAGGATCATTCTACTGTTTTTGCTCACTTCACATTTTTTCATTAGGACATAAAACTTACTTTCATTAACATTAATTTTACTTTTTACTTTTCCCAATAAAACATTATATTGACACAATTACTTCAAATAGTTTTAAGTCCTCAGTTAACAAAGAAACCGATCTTTGATTTTACTTAAACCTGTCATCCGGACCAAACTGTGTTTACCAAACTTATCAAGGGCGGGCCCAGGATTTCAGCTGGAAGGGGTGGGGAATTATATTTATACTTAGTTCTCGTTTAAATACATTTAAAAAACAAGGAGACTGAATTAAAGAATAAATTATGGAATTATAATTTACAAAAATTTTACGACATCAGATGCGTTTGGCATGTAAATGGCCCACTCTATCAAAAAAACAAATGAATCTGATAAAAAAAATCCATCAAAAAAAGAGGTTTGTGTGATTTTTTTCTGAATTTAAACAATATTTTGAGTCATCCTAATTCCAAGCGCTATTCAAGGAGAAGTGGGGAGGAGTAGAAGGGGGGGGGCTATGCAAGGGGAAGTGGGGAGGAGGAGAAGGGGATGGGCTAAGCAAGGGGAAGTAGGGAGGAGGAGAAGGGGGCTTTGCAAGGGGAAGTAGGGAGGAGAAGAATGGGGGGCTTTGCAAGGGGAAATGGGGAGAAGGAGAAGGGGGGGCTATGCAAGGGGAAGTGGAGAGGAGGAGAAGTGGAGGGACTAAGCAAGGGGAAGTAGGGAGGAGGAGAAGGGGGGGGGGCTATTTTTGTATATTTGATGTTTTTAAGTCCTCCTTGTTAACACCTACACCAGACATCCATCAGTATATATTGTCTATAGTCTGGTCAAATATCTAAACATTAAACAAGAATTATCTTAGGATACATTGATTGATCGATTTATACCCACTCACGCCTACTTAATAACATAGGGACGTAGCCATTAAACAAAAAGGGTTTGCATGCAATCATTCCAAGGGACTATGTGCAAATCTGATATAACTTTTAACATAAATTTTATTGTGTTTTATAATTGTTGTTGAACTAGTTGATATTCTCTAACATTCTCCTGAAATGAACTCACACCATTAGCGCAAAATTGTAATTTTATTCAAGCAGGGATTTAAATATTTTACATTTTATTTATCAATATATTTTAAAGACATTTTAAACCTTTATTGCTTGGAAGGCAGTATTGGAGAAATAAATAAGAATTTTTTTCCGTCCCCCCCCCCCGCCCCTCCCTGTTATTGATGTGGTTTACTATGCTTTGGATGGGTTTCTGGTCTTGGTGCCAAACCTCAGATACTTGATACATGCTAAAGGAGGGGGGGGGGGGGGATGAGGGGAGACTTTTTTAAAAAGTTTCCCTAAATTCTTGATTCATAATTCATATGCTCTCCTCATAGCTTATGGTCAGACCGGCAGCGGTAAAACGTTCACAATGGGAACTGGATTCGAGCTGGATAGTCAACCTGGACAACTAGGGATTATACCCAGGTATACTAGTATATAGGGATCCTGGTATACTAGTAGATAGGGATCCTGGAATACATTATAGCAGAGATCCATGTTTACTATAGAAAGGGATTCAGGTATACTATAGATAAGGATCCAGGTATAATTCATATATAGGGATTATATCCATGCAGATTGTAGTTAAACTTTATAGAGTTGGATTATAACTAAGTATGCTTGTAAATTGGATCCAGGTATACTTTGTAGATAGGGATTATACTCAGGTATACTCTTAAGATGGGATCATATGAGACAAACTTGGTAATAGCTTGTGTTTTATGTATACTGATAAACTGAATATGGGTTGACCGGTAATTATTAATATTATTCAAGTACATATGAGTATTGTATAACTGAAAACAGTTTCATGGTTTAAAATGAATATTTGTGCGGTCTGCGGTTGTTGATTAGGGAATTCTGGATTTAATGGGGGAATATTAAGTTGAATGGGGGAAATACTAGATTGAAAGGGAAATAAAAACGTGTACACCAATTTTTGTTTACAACTGTATTCTATTTAAAATTCGAAAAATACTTCTTAACCTAGTAGATAATCATAACTTGACATTTGTTTAACAAAGGTCAATTTTGTATTAATATTATTTTAAAATATTCTTTTATGACATTGAAGTTTTTGACATTTAAGAAGAAAAAAAGGTAAAGGGATTTCGCAAATTCATTGATGGAGGGGGGGAATTTGGAACTGACGNATATTCATGATTTTTATTAACTTTTTTGTATACCTTTTGTACCCAACATACTCTGTACAATAAAATTAAGTAATATTCATGATTTTCATTAACTTTTTTTACCCCTCAGACTCTTTTTATAAAACTAGATTTAATATTGAAGGATTAATAATTACCTACTCAGAAAATGATTGACTATATTTTAAAAATAACATTGGTTTACAGGGTTACCAATGAATGATAAGACTTTTATCACGACCTAAAACTCTTAAAATACACCCATTTGAAGAGGAATTTAAGTTTCTACCCTAATTTTCGTAAATGAGAAATAAGAAAAACAAAAAAAAAATCCTAGAGGGCAACAAATGTTTCTTGATCATTAGTCATGACCCTCCCTCCATCTAAACCCCCCATCCCTCCATCTCCCCCCTCTCCCTTGATGCCCTGATTAGTGTATGTCCAATGTTGTGAGGGTAGAATATCTGGTTTAAATCCTCCTACGCATACTTCATAGAGATCAATTTATGTATTTTAAACTAAAGATAGTTAATACACACCCTGTATTTTAAACTAAAAATACTTAATACACGCCCATGTATTTTAAAGTATAAATAGTTAATACACTTATACACGCCCCTGTATTTTAAACTAAAAATAGTTAATACACATTATACGCCCATGTATTTTAAACTATGAATAGTTAATACACACCCCTGTATTTTAAGCTAAAAATAGTTAATACACATTATACGCCTATGTATTTTAAACTATGAATAGTTAATACACGCCCCTGTATTTTAAGCTAAAATTAGTTAATACAAAGTTAAAAATAATCCGTTTTCAAAATTATAAACATTTTAATTTTTACTCAATCAGACGAAGCTTTTAAGGGTACCGTTAAAAATTGGGCACTGGCATTGTCATATTTGCATGATGGATCACTTGAAATTACGCTTACAGTCCCTTTAAACATTAATAAAGTATTATTATGTATTAAAATAAATCTGTTTTGAAAATGTTCTATTAAAGTGTTTGCCCTGCAATATCTGGATGGAGGGAACCCAGCTGGAATTTGTCTTTTATCGTCTAGTTTAATTAAACCACACCCAGGACACTAGTTTTTACACCGGGGGGGGGGGGGGTATGTTACTCCACCCTGACATATGTAATTCTAGTTTTCAAATCTTATTCCTTGTTCCTAATATTTTATCCTATATCTAATATCACAGCAGTTGGGACATTAACAGTTTTTATTTCCAAATACTGTTCATTCCTCCATATTAAATGTTCAAAATACCCAAGAAAACGAGTACATTTTAAATCGAGTTTATAAACACAAAAAAAATGTAAAACATGGTTAAATACAAAAAATGAGACTTCGAAGACAACTGTACAATGGTTAGTCCTTATTTCTTAAATCGAAAGTTTCCCGCAGCTTTAAACCTGCTTCTTTTTTCCAAATAGTTTAAAATAAACTAGCTGAATTGCCCGGCGTTGCCCGTGGAATTTCAGAAACATAAATTTGAGAAAAAAATTAAAGAAAAAAAGTTTTGATTAAAAAAAATTTAATTATTTAGTCTTTGTTACCGCAAGAGTTCCCTCAAAAAAAAGTCAGCCCGTTCGGTCCAGCTGTTTGGCCAGCTATAGCTAACATATATAGATATATGTATACACATACATACATACAAGGCACACTATCAATGAATTGACTCTTGTCGTTAATTTTACAGCTATTGGAAGTATGATTTTTAAAACACAAGAACAAGCCAAATAAATCGGTAATAATGAGCAAAGAGCAAAAACTACAATTACAAAATTTTTTTTTCAACTTTAAGCCCATAAACCAGTGCTTTCATTTTGAAAAAGTCTTAATCAATCCAACTTTAAAGTTAAAAGATCACGAAACAAAATTTTTTAAATTTATATATATATTATTATATGCATATATACATGGTAGTTATATTGATAATCTAGTTGATATGAATACTTGACATATACTTCATATTAAGGACTAGATAGATCTAGTGATAAATGCACACAATGCATGAAGATGAAAAGATAGACCAGAAAGGATCATAGTGTCATGGTCAGCAGTTTATCCAAATAACATAGAAATTTATTCTGAGCTGGGTCATTCAGTACGCTCAGCGCCTCGCAGATTTATGCCATGTATTATGTAATTCTTCAAATGACCCAGGGTCACTTGAAATTACGTCTTCTGTCGCTTGTGATGTAGCGTGTAATTTAATGTAATTTACAGCGTTTAATTTAATGTACTGCGTGTAATATAATGTATAGTGTGAAATGTAATATATACATTGTGTAATGAATAGTATGTAGCGTAATGTATTGGGTAGTTTGTAATGTAATGTACGGTGTAGTTACAGTGTTATGTAATGTACGGTGTATTTATAGTGTAATGTAATGTACGGTGTATTTATAGTGTAATGTAATGTACGGTGTATTTATAGTGTAATTTAATGTACGGTGTATTTACAGTGTAATTTAATGTACGGTGTATTTATAGTGTGTAATGTAATGTACGGTGTAATTATAGTATTTAATGTGCATACAATCCTTGTATTATTTGTTCAGCCCAACCTGGAGCCAAGAGATATTGTTTCGAGGGGCGGAGATATAAATGATGATCACCTCAATTTAATTGAAACAATTATTTTTAATCTAGATTGAAGCAATCAACATGGGTACATTATGGATTAAGATATTACAAGGATCAATCGATTAGAATAGAATAATTTACAGATAGATAATAAGATAGATAAATAAACAGAATTTTACAAGAAAAGTGCACCAAGAGATTAAGTTCACTAAGAAAGCATTTTACATAAACTAGATGATAGTGATACTTAAAAATTATTTACTTTTTATTTTCAGAGCTGTCAGACACTTGTTCGATGGGATCAGCCAGAGGTATTTGTTTTACTATTTTGCGGATGCATTACTTTTTTGTTCCTTTTTTTCATTCTTCGTATTATTTTTCCATATACATTTGTTCTTTATTTTAGACAAGAAGAAGCAAGAGAGAATGGTATGACTCCTCCAGAATTTAAGGTAATTTCTTACTAAAATTTTGCATTTTTAAATAATTATTAATTATCATTTTGATTTATAATACAGTTAAACCCTAAATAAGCCATTCATTGAAAAAATTCATCAAATATCGTATTCTTCACTTTCTGATAATGGAATGTTGCAGATATTTAGTTTTTTAATTAAATGATATAAGGAGCTCTAAAACCGTTCCCGGACATTCATGGCTATTTATTTATTTTCGCAAATACCAAGATTTACGTAAAATAGTATAAAACTTATTAAAAAATTGTCAAGACGACATTTGATAAATTCTTTCGATGTATGGCTCATTTAGGGTTTAACTGTATTATCGTAATTCAGATATGCAGATCTAGTTCTAGAAAAAAGAAAAAATTCAAATTTTAAGAGTTATTTTTGTCCAAGGTTTCCTTGCAGTTTATGGAATTATACAATGAAGAAATATTGGATTTGTTTGATGCTACAACTAGTAAAGGTAATATAATTAATTAAATTAATTTGAATTTTTCACACAATTCCATATATTACTTGACGGTGTCTATATGCATAAGTTTATGATCTATATATTCTAGTCAGCTATGCTTTAGTATTGAAGGGACCTGCAATGTATGTTAGTTGAACTCAGAATGTAGTATTGTGGAGAAATTTTTTAGGCTTCATTTGAATTTAAAACGTTTTAATGATATAATGTTTAATGATGGTTAAGTTTTGAGAATCGATTTTTTAAAAATTATTAAATAACGACACCAAAAAATGTAACAAAAATTCCACAGTAAACTAATTAGTTCTCACATTCACAGTTCAACTACCAAAAACCCCCGTTCACTCCCTTTAAAGGGCCTACACATACAGATATATAGTACGTTATAAAGTGAGGTTGGGAGAAAATTATATTTCCAATGGTACTTTTCTCTATTTGATCTAGCACGAGTTTATGACATAATGTGACCAAAAAAGGATAAGACTGAAGAGTTCAAAGACGTGGACGAAATTCTTCAGTTTTAATGTCTAAGGTTACCTACATTTGTAACCTTTTTTTTCCGTGTCAAATCAATTCATAATCTGTTTTTAAGGAGGAAAGAAAATATTCAGCCTTCCAATTTTTTTCATTAAAGAGTTGTAGGTCGTTATTAAAGTCACATCCTTTTTGGGTAACCCAGTATCCTCGACATCATAGATTTTAGAATCTTAACCTTGTAAAAAAACTTTTTTTATTTAAAAATTATTAAGGAAACAAAGCAAAATATACCTTTCTTACATCACAAAATATAAATGAAACCTAAATAATAGATATTTTTGTTCAGCTAAGAAATCTGGTATTCGGATACACGAGGATTCTAATGGAACTATTTACACACTAGGAACCAAATCCATGCTAACTAATATCATCAACTGTGTTACGTACTTTCCGAAAGGCCTTTTCCCTTAGACAACTTCCCAAGTGGCAACTTCACAATTGTGCAATTTTATAAGCGGCAACTTCCTTAATATACATTAAGGTAGGCAAGACCTTCTGGGGCCTCGCAGGCTGCATTGAGGGCCCAAGCGCTGTGGCTAGGACGGGCTAGGGGCCTAACGCTGCGGCTAGAACAGGCTTGGGGAATTTTATCTTTGGGAAATTGACACTTGGGAAAGTGTCTATCTCATCAAGTATAAGGCTAGGAATACCTTCAAAACCTTTCAAGACAAAAGGCAAAATACCCTCAAATTGCTGTTTGGCAACCTCGCGTTGCCATCTATCTATCCTAACCTACTTGACCTGATCTGGAATAGTTAATCATGCGAGGTTACCAAACATGTTAGGAGGGGGGGGGGGGGTCCAGATGATGAACTATGAGCGGTCATGGCCCAAATTTCAATAAACTTTTATCTAGGTTATTGGTATAAAAATTCCATTAAACCTTTCTGTTTCCTAGTCTTTTTGTCTTTATCAATTATTGGTAACTTGTCAAGTTACATTCTTTGTATTGTTTTTGACATGAAGCGCTGAAGTTTATTTTATATCTGAAATAAAATGGATTCGTTATTAAAAAAATATATTCCAGCATGTTAATTTTATAAAGAATAACTTTTTACTTAAAACAATTAATTTGGAAGGTATTGTTTTCGACTCTCAACTGTCACAGACTTATTATTATTGTACACTGTAAGTTTATATTACAGTACGGTACACAGTACATATAGTGAACATGATTTAAGAAGACATTAAATTCTGCAAAAAAATCTGAAATGACAAGTTTTTTCTAAACTATAGACATTTTACTAGGAAGAGATTTTTTAGAATTTAATGATTATATTTTGAACTCGTTATTTTAAGAATAAAAACCTTGTTAAAACTTTTTCGATTATTGAATAAATGGATTTTGTTGATCAAGGTATGACGAGTAAAAATGTGAAAAGTGAAGAGGAAACTTTAAACTGTCTTAGATCCGGGGCTTTCAACAGGAATTCAATCAATGAATCATTATAAAATATTTAGAAAAAATGTTTAAAAGATTCATATTAATCTAAAGAGAAAAAGAAAAGAAAATATAAACCATAAGTGTTTAGAATATTTATTTTTACACAATCGTATGGTTGATTTATAAATTAATTGATTGATTGATTATTTGTTCAGAACAACTGCGTCAACAAACATGAATGATCAGTCCTCAAGATCACATGCTATATTCACTCTGTATATTCAACAACAACGTCAATCCAGGTCTGTATATATAATACATACATATATATATATACATATATATATATATGTATATATTTATATATATACTAGCCTTAGAGGGCGCTTCGCGCCCATCTTCTAAATTAATTGTAAACATGTTCTCTTTCTTAATCGTAAAACAAAACAAAAATAATTCGCGGATTTTCACAAAAAATTTCGTGAATTTGCAAAATTTTCAAAAATTTAATGAAGATCGAATTTTGATGGAGACAAATATTTGAAATATTGATCATTCAAAAACCTTCCCTGTGGTTACAAAAAATTTGGGCCCGATCGGTTCAGCCGTTTTGACGTTTATTGGATACAAACAAACAGACAAGCCAAATTTATACATAGATAACTATTTAAATAAACTATATAAATATATGGAAAGGTTGATAATGTACACTCTAAGTCACAGCGGCGAAGATCTCAGATACAAGGTGTTTTTGGTAATGTCTGACTCAACAATTGTTGAAGGTTAGCTTCAAACTCAGTTTCCTCAATATTAGTCACAAAGCAGGGTTTAAATACTCTGAGGATTTCCATCATCAGAATTCCGCCTTAATCATGACAAATGGGAAAAGAAAGGTTAGGCTAGGAGTGGATATTTTCGTCAAAAGAATTCTTGATTCTTTTAAGTTCATCTCGGACAGGCTTGTTATTACGGAGTATATTCAAGGTTGCTAGTTGCAAAATCTCGATCCAGCTTAGGTAAAAAAATCTCCATTCTTCAGGTTAAAACAGCGTTAAAAGATCAATGCAGGCCTTCAATGTTTCTTGGAGTCCCATTTATTTCTTTTCTACCCCCCTACACCCCTGGCTAAAGTTTCTTCAGTTTGCCATTTTCTCTCTCTTACCCTGTATCTTTGAGTACTTTAGAAGCTGGTACTCCACAATAAATAGTATTATAATCATTCCATTTTCCTGCAACCACTATCCAATATACAATCCACCCAATTAATATATCTCAAATCGATACCTGTTGGTTAAACTTTGGGAGTTCGCAAAGTTAATGCCTTTAGTTTTAAAATATTCGGAAAACATGCATACAGGGCTTCCTAAACCAGGCTTCAGCAAGATGTTTTACTCATTAGAAATATCATTTAAAAATTGAATGTTAGATTTAAATTTATCTTTGTTGCATATTATGTACAGATGATTGAAGCAGGTTATGCTCAATTAACAGAAACTTTTATTAGCATGAGTAAAGCTTTTAAATTAAACATTAACTGGAAATGTTAAGCAGACTGTAAAAATACTGACAATTTGGCTCAACTCTTCGTGGATTTTGAACTCGTGACGGGAACTACTCTTCCTATCATGTAAAGACGACCTCTCCCTCATTAAGTTGCTGACTTGTATATTTCTAGAACTGATCTGCATCTGGGAGATGATGATGCTGAGGTTATGCCGTCCAATGAAGATGTTGAGCATTTATCCGCAAAATTCCACTTCGTCGACTTAGGTAACAACGAAATTTGAAAGAAATTAAAAAAGAAAGTAATGAAAAGTTTTTGTTATCAAAAGTTCATAATCCATTTCTCTGAAGAGCTTTCAATAATAGACATCGGCCTGGCCCAAAGTAAATCTTAAATCCATGAAATAACATTAAGTGTCTAAAAACTGATAACTACTTTTTGACTACACAATACAAATATGTTTTATTTAGCTGGTTCTGAGAGATTAAAGAGAACTGGGGCTACAGGGGACAGAGCTAAAGAAGGAATATCTATTAATTGTGGACTTCTAGGTGAACCTTTGTTTAAAACATGCATATCATATGTATTATATGTAAAGCAGGACGCCAATAAGAAGTGTCCATGAATGTAATAGTGGGCCAAACAGTACCACTAAGAGAGATATAACAACCATAGAAATAATACATTTGACCCCAATGGATAGCATAGGATAGGTGGCATATCCTTTAGAGTAGCCAGTTCGGCGCAGAAGGTCGTCTTTCACGTGTTGGAAGATTTAAGGATTCCATAGGCAATGCCGGGCACTACCTCCATTATTGTAGGTTGTGTGTTACAAAAAATGTTTAATTTAAAAGAAATTGGATTGGAAAGATATTAATACATTTGCATTTTGTAAACTATTTATAATTATATTAAATTAAAGTAAAAACTCCTTTGAGCTGTATTTTCTCAAAGGAACATTGAACATTAAGTAAGATTGAAAATTGATTTTAAAAAATAAGAATACAACTTTTAATGAGTTGTAGAGAATAAGGCTAGAGCTTTGATGGGAGGGGAAGGCACGCCTCACCCATATTGCTTCCTGTCCACTATTGACTCACATACATGGAGCTGTGGCACCGAGCTTACCTGTATCGCTTCCTGTCCGCACTCATATGTCTTCCCGCAAAATGTCTGTACTTGTGTGCCTTTCCTCCTCCTTATACTGATAATTATCAAAATAAATATCACAAATACTACATTTATAGATCAATTTTACTTGTTTATTTTATGGATACATTTTTTTAGCGCTTGGTAACGTAATTTCTGCCCTGGGTGATACGAATAGGAAGGCAAGCCATGTTCCGTACAGAGACTCCAAACTTACCAGGCTACTGCAGGTCGGTCAATCCAATAATTATAAAGATTTAACATTAGAAATTTTACCGAATTATTTCTGTTCTCTAGAGCACTGAGCTTCTAATAAAAATGTGTGTTTTAAAAGTAAAAGTTAAGGAATCGAGTTTTTGCCAAATACATAAATTTTCTAATCCCTAAATTTTTACAACCTGATTGTGTAAACCTTCGATTTTTCAAACTAACGCTACTTGATCTACCAAAGTTTATAGTTTGAAATATTAAAGGTCTACGAAATCGGGTTGTAAAAATTTGAGGATTAGAAAATCAGAGTTTGTGGCAAAAACTCAATTCCTTTGAATATAGAGGTTTGTTTCCAAAGGAATTGAGTCTTTGCCACAAACTTTGGTTTTTAAATCCTTATATCTTAACAGCCCAATGTTGTAGACCTTAGATATTTCAAACTATGACTTCTGTTATATCAAACAATCAAAGTTTGAAATATCTAAGGTTTACATAATTTGGTTGTAGATATATAGGTATTAGAAAATTGAGATTTGTTGCAAAGACTCAATTCCTTTGTGTTTGTTTTTGTCTGTTTTGCGGTTTTACCATTATAAGCATTTCTGGATAGAACTTCATTATATTTTCTCGAGAAATTGATATAAAACTGTGTCAAAATTATACCAAAATTCAAATAATAATTTTGGTATAACTTTGACACAGTTTTATGTCAATTTCTCGAGGCAGGAACATCAAATAGAACTCATCTATCTCGCGATCAACTCCTTAAGTCTTTGGTTTAAGCCAATACAACCTTACATTTTTCCTTAATAGTCCCTTTGAAAACAAAATTGTAATATTTGTTTCTAAACTCCTTAGAAACTCAAATTTTCTAATTTGTAAATGGATTTAGGACTCGTTGGGAGGAAACAGTAGAACTCTAATGATAGCGTGTGTTAGCCCGAGTGACAGGTAATCAACCATATATATACAATATACATATATATATATATACTTTACTTGTTTGTCTGTCTGTTCGTGTGTACAAACGGCTAAACCGACCGAGGACCTGACATGATCACAGGCCAGATTTACGGATGGTCATAATTTGAAAAAATGTCTTTTAAAAAATCAATTTTTGAAAATCAATATAAGAGCAACAATTAATAGTTATAATCGAAGATGGGCGCAAAGCGTCCTAGAAACCGAGTATTTGGAATTTTTTTTAATCTATGACATCGAGCTTTGATGCTTGTATGTACGTAATGGAAAACTTTTGTTTTGTGCGTCCTAATAGTACTTACTCACTATGCATCAACGTTACTCTTGATTTTGCGTCCTCAATGCAATCTTATAATTTTTTTTCAATGTTATGTTTTTTTCAGAGACTTTATGGAGACCCTTAATACACTGAAGTACGCCAACAGAGCAAGGAACATAAAAAACAAGGTGATTAAAATAATTATTTATTATGAGTATTACTATTATGCTGTGTTTACTGGCACATTGGTTTTCTTGTTAGATTGTTCTGTAGAACTCATTTTGATGGTTTAATCAAAAAACCAGCGATTATTGAATATTCTTTTGGGTGAAGATTTAAGAATAGTTAAAATTTGCCTCTGCAAAACTGTAAAATTTAAATTTAGACCTCTGTAAGGTAAAATGACCTCTGCCATGGAGGATGCTATGTTTGAATGTAAATCGGCCTCGAAATAATATTGATAGAAGAATGATTAGTATGATAAAATGATAATTGATCTTCGTTTTGACCGCTGTTAAAAATGATTACTGACCTCCTTATAATGATCCAGGTCACAGCAAACCAGGATAAAACCTCGAGGACAATTATTCAGCTACGGATGGAAATACAGAATTTACAATTGGAACTCATGGAGTACAAACAAGGTAGGATTACGCATCATAAATATTAAACTTTTCTGAAATTATCAGATATTTTATTTTCAGTTTTTGTAGCCAGTCCCCTAGAAATTTCTCGAAATAAGTAAAAGTTGAATTCTGTATCAATCTAGCTTTTCTGTAATTAGAAATTTATATGAAACGTCCAGGTCAGGTAGTGCCGCATTTGTGCAGGTTCAAATTTAAAACTTGCATCATTCAGTTGTTATTCAGCAAAATCATTGATTTTTGTATTAAAAATTCTCAAATTGAATTCTGGTCACTTATATTGAAGTTAAAGTAGATAGTTATGAAATAATAAACAAATCGTCTAACAATCTAAAAATTCATATATCGGTTGATTTATCCAAGATATTTATCTATTACTGGGTGGTGACCTAGCCCTTGTCATGTTTGTTCACACTAGACTTGTGTCATTTACCAACTAGAAATTCATTTCCGTTTTTTCTCGGGTCTAGATTTCTACGGAATGAAGGTTGATGATGTTTTTTTTTTTTTATCTTTTCAATAATCTTCACTGTTAACCATATTGGTGGTGCAGTTTGATGAGAGCTTAACCTGGACTTCTACGGAACGATAGTTGATCATTTAGTTATTTGCTTTTATTTTCTAATCTAATCCATCTATTTGATAAATTGCTTTATGAATTTTATGATCTATCTATTTGATAAATTGATATATCTATTTGATAAATTGATATATCTATTTGATAAATTGATATATCTATTTGATAAATTGATATATCTATTTGATAAATGGATCTATCTATTTGATAAATGGATATATCTATTTGATAAATTGATCTATCTAGGGAAGAGAGTGGTTGGCGAAGATGGTGGCGTGGATGGTTTGAATGATATGTATCACGAGAATAAACTTCTCAGCAAAGAAACTCAGAATTTGAGAACAAGGATAAAAGCAATGCAGGTAAATATACGAATACCACCATGGTAGTTTTCGAATACCGCCATTCGTTTTTAAGGAAATCTTCCTTTTTCAAAATAGGTCTCAAAAGAGGTCTGGAGGACAGACTCTAATAACGAGGCTAGGCTGGTTCAGTAACTTTGTATTTTGTCTAACAAATATCGAGATCAAACAGTTCTAAAAGAATCACATGAGAATACTGAATATATTTGGTTTGGCTTGGGAGGATTTAAGATGTGGAAATATCGTCTTCTTTTTAGTTGCAAATAAGTCGTAACCTATGACCCCAATTAGAAGAAAAATAAATTTAGGGAATGATTTTTATTTTTCATGGGAAAAATATACAACTCATAAATTTGAACTGCAACTTATAATCTGTAGATTATTATTGTACTTGGTTAAATATTCTTAACTAGTTAAAAACGTTTATAATATTTTTTTTTAAATCGTTTTTATTTAATAAGATTCTAATAATAAAAAGAACAAATTTTAAATGTTGCAACTAAAATGTAAAACTATATTGAATTTAGGAAACTATTGATCACCTGACGAGTAAGAATGCTCAACTCCTGGCAGAAAAGGAGGCAGGAAACTGGTTAGGAGCAGGTATAATTCTAGAGTTTTAACTCCTAATCTCTCTCTGAACAGGAAACTGGGAGCAGGTATAATACTAGATTTTTAACTCCTAATCTCTCTCTGAACGGGGAACTGGTTAGGAGCAGGTATAATTCTAGAGTTTTAACTCCTAATCTCTCTCTGAACATTGACATATTATAAATTCTTTACAATCTATATCTAAGAGATTTTTCAATGTCATTTACATAAAATTAAATTTCTTTTAAATTAAAAGTCATGAATAAAATAATAAAAAAAATGTACAGTTAAAATTTGATTTAGGAAGAAAAATATATGTTGTTTTTTAATATGAATAGAATAATTGATTGGACTAAAATTATTATTTTTATCTGATGATACTAAGAAAAGTTCTCGTCACAATCATAAGAAAGATTGAAATATTTTAAAATGTTTTTTTATTTGAATATTATTGTAAGTAGGATACAATGGTCGGCGATTATATCGACACAATGAAGACTTTGCTATTTAACTTTTGATTTATTTTCAAATTTTAAGTAAAGAATAAAACAAAATAGAACCTGTTAATTGACATTGTTGTATTGATAATATATAACGACTGCTAAATAATAATTGTAGATGATAATTGTTAAAAATGAGCAAAGATATTTAATTGAAAAATATATTTGTATAAAGGTGACGCTAAGGATGATATAACTGGAATGATCTCTAAGTACATGTCTGAGATAGAAGATTTAAGGAAACGTTCAGAAAATCAGTTTTATCTTAATTTCTAGTTATTTTCTTTTTATTTAAAATGTTTTCAATAAATTTACCCCATTATTTGCTCAAAATGTGAGATAAAAACTTTAAAACTTGATCTAATTAAAATCTGCAAAACCATGATATTATTTAATCTGATCTGACTGTGGTTGGTATCAGGACTAAACTCTGCCAGTCTGAGAATCTGTGTGAACAGCTCAGAAAAGAAAACAGCAAGGTTGGTCGGAATTTATTAGTTTTTGTTTTTCTTTCGATGTTTAATTATTTGTATACATTCTTTTCTAAACTTCTAAAGAATGAAGTCAATATTTCCGAAGAAAATTCTAATTTCCTTCCATATAAGTAAATTTAAACGAGTTTCTGGTCAAGAATTAATAAAAAAAAGTCGATAAAATGGTCGATGAAACAGAAAGTTTTAAGAAAGTTTTTTTTTTCTTCTTATTTCTATTAATAGAAAGTACATATTAACTACTATTTATTATCATCATTGTCATTATTATCATTATTGTCATTATTATCATTATTATCATCATTAATATTATTATTATTATCATTATTATCATCATTAATATTATTATTATTATCATTATTATCATTATTTTCATTATTTTCATTATTATCATCATTAATATTATTATTATTATCATTATTGTCATTATTATCATCATTAATATTATTATTATCATTTTTGTCATTATTATCATTATTATCCTTATTATCATCATTAATATTATTATTATCATTATTGTCATTATTATCATTATTATCATCATTAATATTATTATCATCATCTAACTTGTTGTGTTCCAGGTGAAAAGGTTGTCTAATGGATTTAACAATTCCTTTAATACTCCCTGGTTAAATGATTCTACTACAGAGGAATCTGGATACTCAGTCAAGGAAAAAAAAGCATTTTATTTTAAACTTGCTTGTGAACCCAGCCTTGTCTGAAACCCATATTTTCTCTATTTAAGTCAACCAACTTAATTTAGAAATTTTAAACCAAGGTAAGAACATTCCTGTCGGTATACCGAGTTCCTCAATCAATATTTTAGGCCAAAGGGTTCATGAGTTATGATCGGACATACAAACAAACAAACAGAAATTTCTACTACTTATTTTTAGATAACTAAAAATGTATTCCAAGGGAAAAGTTATTGATGAACATTAATTGAATCATAAATTTATTGATACTGGTATTTATCTCATCTGATGTTTCTGTAAACAATAGTCATAAACTCATGATTAGTTTGATATTCCTTTTTCAAGAAACACATTCAGATTTGTTAAAAAATGCTGAAATATCCAGGAGTTGATAAATATAGCAAAGAATGAGTTGGAACAAAAACGAGAGAAGGTTAGAAAATCCTCAAAGATAAAAGAGGAGGAAAAGGAAGGAACATCTCTACTTGAAAAGGAACGCTCTCAATCTTTAAATAGTTTTAGTTCAAGAAAACACAATTCCTTTACAAACTTATGAAAAATGAAATATTTCTTAATAAAAATCTAATCTTATTATTTATTATATTTATAACTCTTGCTCCCCTCACCATTTAAGATTGAGAGGGTGTAGGGTAAGGTTGACCCTGAGAAGGATGTAGATGAATCTATTATTGAAGAAGATGAAGGTGAAGGAGAACATGCTGATGATGAAGATGATGATTCAGATACTGATACTGAAACAGATGTCAAGGAAAGTTTTGCTCACATCTAAATCTTTGAATATTTCCTGGAAAAATATTAAAATATGCTAAGTTTCCCTGATGAAAATATCAATTAATCAAAGTCCTTTTGGAAGGAAAAAAGTAGAATGTTTATTTACATAATTAATTGTTAAGCTTGTTGAAGATTTTAGTCACATTTTTGAAGCATTAAATTTCCCACAAGCCTCTGCAGAATTCCCCCACTTCTCNGTCACCTGTTTTTCTCCCGGAGAGAATGTTAGAGCAAGGTTGTGCCCAGACCAACCAACTTGATGAAGAGCTCGTAGAACTTACATCAGAGATTTCTCTCAAACAAAAACTTATTGAAGAACTCGGTAAATATTTTAGTAATATTATGGGAAGTGAACTGATTACTCGCCTCAACCTCTTATTATCTAAGCTTTATATCTTTGCAAACTGATGGGGTAATCTTTGATATTTTAAACTTTGACTTTTTGATCTAGTATAATTCATAGTTTGCAAAATAAAAGGTTTAGGGACATGTCATCCTTTATCAATTATAGGTTAAATAGTGTAACTGTGAATCTGGTATGGCACTTTTTGAAGGTCCATTGAAAGTTTAGTTGAAAATCCCTTTAAATTCAATGATAGAAGAACTACTCTTGTAAAATAAATTAAACTGGATTGTAATTTAATGTGACATTGGTATGCCTAGCTAATCTAATAATCTGATTACGTTAACAACAACCTCACATATTTCTCTCACGCCAGTGAGATAAAAAAAAAATTTATTTCTATAAATTTAAATCCTACTTATTTCTCAATAGAAGGCCTGAAACCAGTTTTTATCTACTCACGAAGCTATACTTTCAATAAATATTTGTTTAGAAAACTCTCAGAAGAGAATGGAAGTTATGAAACATCAATATGAGTCAAAACTTCAGGTAAATGTGTTTTGTAAAAATCTATAATAATTAGAATTATTGATTTTTTATTAAAATATCCAAAATGTAAAAGAGAACATCTTTGTAATAATCTTTGACTACTCCCTTATTTGAATTGAATAGTTGAAAATTTTTGAATTTAAGTAGTCAAATATCTTTATGTATGCACTTCTTAAACAGGTCTGTTTTTGTATAATATGTTTATTTGAATTGCTAATGGGTTGATTTTCAAATACTAAAACGATTTACTTTTTTGACTCAATGCCCTCTTGTTTCAGTGTTGACAATTTTTTTGACCGTTCAATTAAAAAAAAAAATTCTAATCTACAAATGTTTTTGTTGTCCTTGTAGGAGCTGCAGAAGCGTATCATGAGCACCCAGGAGGAGAGGGACAAGGTGCTCAAGAACCTTGCAGGAACCAGGGGTTCTCCTCCTACACAACAAATATCTAAGATCAAGGTTGGTATAACAAGGTTGTTTGGAGAGAGGTGTTCTCCTGAATTGCATAGATTATAAGGTTCTGGAATCCTAACTCTTTTCTGAATCTCTTATTTTTTCATTGTGATTTGTCGAAATGAAACATTTTATGAGATAACTTATATAAAATTATAAGTAAAAATAAAGAATGTTATTATTTGGTTAGATTAGAATGATTTTGAATGTATTATGATTATTATATCTACCATTAATATGTTCAGGTTGAATATCAGGATAAGATTGATAAAATGCAGAACGAGCTCAAGAAACTTCAGGAATACAAACTTAAACTGCTTTTAATCGAGAACAATTGTTTTTATTTAAATTATTTTTCACAAGATTTTTAGTTATTTCAATCTGCTGCTTAATTTGTAATCGAACTACACAGTAATAGTAATTTGTAAAACATATATTTACACAACTCATGGTAATCCCTACAACCGCACACTTCACTGTAAACTGTAAACTGCACCAAACATCTGTAGTTATGAAGTAATTTTTATAATTTTTAATTATAATCCCCAATTTAATTTTCATCCGACATGAGCAGATATATGAGTTGTATGTATCCTCCAGGCTGCTCAGAAGGAGCACGCTAAGCTGCTCAAGTCCCAGGGTCAGTACGAGAAGCAGCTCGTCAAGTTAAAATCAGATGTTATGGATATGAAGAGGGCTAAGGTACAATATCAGATTCTTAATCTAAACCCCGGGATCTGAATCTGCTGGATCCTGATTCAGATTCGTTAACTAAAATACTAAGAAAACAAAAACGTAAAATTATATCGGAATATAGTTATTTATATTTTTATTTTCAAAAAATTTCAAAAATAGATCTTATCTACTTGAATCTTTAAAACACATGTCCAATAAAAAAGTATAAGAGAACAAATACAAAAAATTTATATTTATTTGGTGGAAAACGGAAATGGGTTCAGTTTCAACTCATTTAAACCTAGGACCTCTGGTTACCGTGTAAAATGGCCTGCGATAATCACCATGGAGGGATTTAAAGCGCATTTAAGATAAATTAATGTGTCCCCATAAACATAAGTTTAGTTTGATGTCTTCACTTCTTATCCTGTTGTTTAGATATCAACCCCACTGTGTATTCTAATTACTCTAATTACTTTAATTGCTCTAATTGATTCAATTAATCAGGTTCGATTAGTTCAACAGATGAAAGAAGAAACTAATAGACATAGGTAACTTGAAAACTTAAATTAAAATTTTTAGCACTTTTTTCATGCAAATTCATTAATCCTTGAATTTATTTTAGTGCCATTGAAAAATAAAAGTTCTAAATACGTATTATAGATTTTCATTTTAAACTCTCGTTCATATTTTGGATTCTTAATTTAAAATCACTTTTTTATGCAACATTAAGTTACTTTCGTATCATTTCCATACTCTATGTGTAATTGCTCTACTTTAATATAATACACTCATTCTTCGTACATTTAGAAAAACATCCCTTCTTGCTAAAACGATTTTGATTAACTATTTCTTTATTTCTTATCTAATGAGACACTGGTGAAACTAACCACCCATTCTTTAATTTAACAAATACAAAAACAATAATAAAAATTCACTTTAAATAAGATTATACAAAATAAAAATCAAATACAACTTCCTTTTTTCAAACACCTAATCGCGAGCTGTAGGGTAGGCTCATATCTCTTTCTTGATTTAGTAATTTTATCTCGAGATTAATACGTGAATAGTAGGGTATCCCTAAAACTCTACTTGATTGATTGATTGATTCAGGGACGCTGAGGGACGAAAGAACCGTGAGTTAGCCCAGCTCAAGAAAGAATCAAGGAGACATGAATCCTTGATTAAAAACCTAGAAACAGAGAAAAGAATCAAGGAAACTATTCTGAAAAGGAAGCAGGTAACATCCCCTTCCCTAAATTCAAAGAAAAAAGAACTCTAAAAGTGGAACATGATATCATACCTATTTACCTAAATATAAAAGTGGAACATGATATCATATCTAGATACAGAAGTGGAACATGATATCATATCTAAATATAAAAATGGAACATTATATCATATCTAAATACAGAAGTGGAACATGATATCATATCTAGATACAAAAAAATAGACATAGGTTAAGGATTCAAGTTAAGAATGCAGACTTGAGTCATATAAAGTTATAATTGAAGTCAGTTGCAGATTTGTTATATTTCTTGTCCTGAATCTAGTGTATGTGTATTGTGTAATTATGCATAATATTTTATTTTTATTTTTTACGTTTTCATTTTAAATTCTGATTATAAATTATTATTAAATAATTATCAGGAGGAAGTAATGAATCTCCGAAAGACAGCTAGGCGTGCCTCTACCATGGCACGGAAGAATGAGAAGTTTAGCAGTAAAACAGCTAAACTCAAGTGGACTGATATAGAGAAGAATATAACTAAGGTTAGCTAATAGATTAATCCAACTAATAGATATTATTTAAGGAGACCGAAATGTTTTATTTTTATGGGGGGGGGGGGGGGGGCAGGGGGTCCCTGCCCTCATTTTTGGATTAAATCTGTGAGTCAGCCAATCAAAACAGTTTACCATGGTTGGGCTGGTTCAGGTTACAGAGTAAACTCTATCTTTTACTTGTTAGGTAAATTGAAATGCGAGTAAAAATGAACCAATTTTATCCATTTCTGAACTAATTTCCGTTTCATTCCCTTTTTTCATCTCTAGAAACCTTAAATATCAAAATGAGAAATGAGCATTAAGCCATAAGGATTCATTCTTTACATTTTCCCTGTTTAAACCACGATTTATGTTGCATTTAATTTGTGTTTTAATGTATATTCAATTATAATTATGATAAATTATCATAATTGTTGTGTCTAGGTTGCCTTGAACAAGCAGGCTGTCTCCCAGATGGAGAATGATATGGATCGATGGCTCCAAGAAAGGGAAAAACTATCACATAGACTTGAGAAATTATCTCAGAAGAGAAGACGACTTCTTTTAGGTCAGTAAGCACCTTTAGCACTTACAATTTAACTGTGCAACTCAGATAATCCGAGTGGATAAAAGTAATATCATTAAACCTCTGTATTTTTAGAAAAGGGAGACAGTAGCTTAGTGATGGACCTGGACGACCAGATGGAGAGCGTGAAGGCGAACATCAACTACCTCCATGACAATATACTCGAGTGTCAGCAGAATATTCTTCAGATGGAGCAAGCTGCAGGTTCATTTTTATATATGCGCGGCATTCGTGACTAATCACGCGCGGCTTAGATATAAACATTTTATCTCCCTCCATTTTCGTAATCTTTATCTATATTACAGGTCAAGAAGAGGAGGATGATGAGGATGAAATGAAGAAGATTCTGGATGTGTCAGAGCTAAAGGCTGAAGAAGCAAAGTAGGAATTTCTTATTAAATATTGTAATATTGGCAAACCATTTTGAATGAAATTCATAAAAACACAAGATTTAATCAACGTAATTTTTTAAACAGAATTTTATTTTGAATCGTATTAAGGTACCTGCTGGAGAAACTGTTATCTATGACGGTCAACCAGACCTGTTTAGCTACACAGAAGGAAGGAAGGATTAGGTAACTAGATAATATACAACCAGACCTACCTAGCAACACAGAGGGAAGGAAGGATTAGGTAACTAGATAATATACAACCAGACCTACCTAGCTACACATAAGGAAGGAAGGATTAGGTAACTAGATAATATACAACCAGACCTACCTAGCAACATAGAAGGAAGAATGGATTAGGTAACTAGATAATTTACAACCATACCTACCTAGCTACACAGAAGGAAGGTAGGATTAGGTAACTAGATAATATACTACCAGACCTACCTAGCAACACAGAAGGAAGGAAGGATTAGGTAACTAGATAATTTACAACCAGACCTACCTAGCTACACAGAAGGAAGGAAGGATTAGGTAACTAGATAATATACAACCAGACCTACTAGCTACACAGAAGGAATGATTAGGTAACTAGATAATATACAACCAGACCTACTAGCTACACAGAAGGAAGGATTAGGTAACTAGATAATATACAACCAGACCTACCTAGAAGGAAGAAAGGATTAGGTAACTAGATAATATACAACCTGACCTACCTACTACCTCGCTACACAGAAACCTGCTGTTTATTCAATTATATATAAATATTGTTCAGAGAACTGGATAATCAGATTCAACAGGCACACCGTCAGAATGCAATGCATCAACAGCTTCTACAGCATATGATAGAACAACAAGATCTAGAAATATATGATCTTATGCTACAGGTTGGGGAGGAATATATCTTTTTTATTTTTATAGATAAAATATAATTTTATTTATATCTTTTGGAACAATCTGTGAAAATCAAAATGTATTTTTATTTTAACAAAAATAGACTTTTTTTTAACCAAAAACTTATTTTAATAAATAAACTTATTTTAACAAAATAGACTTATCTCAGCTAAATTAACTTGTTTTAACAAAATAGACTTATTTTATCCAGAGTAGATTTATTTTACCAAATATAGAGATATTTTACTAAAAATAGACATATTTTCCTAAAAATAGACATATTTTTCCAAAAATAGACATATTATTAACAAAATACTTTTTTTTACAAAAATCTAATTATTTTAACAATAATGTACTTATTTAAACAAAAATTGACTTCTTATTATTATTGATCTAAATAATTTTAACTCCAAAACTAACTTCATGTTAATCAAAGTATACATATTTAGAACTATTTTACCCCTAAATACAATACAAACCAACAAACTATTTTACCATCTTCAGAATGAGGAGGATGATACCTCAGCTAGTGATGATGAGGAGAGTAGACCTGTGCTCCATCTTCCCTTGGTAGCTTCTGTAAAGCTTGATGATGATACTGGAACAGGTAGTTGAACTATTTGGACTTTATTGTACATACATTACTTGTAAATTGTACATTATGGACTCTCATATACCCCTCCCTACTGAAACAAAAAATATGCATTATGCATACGCCTACAATTACATTTATACAAAAACAAAAATCATTTAAAAAACTAATATTAATCAAAATCCCTGAACTACGGCAGGGAATCATACTCCCCCAATATGTAATGAAAAATGTTCAAAATATTTGGTTGATTGGTGGTCAATGAACAGACCAAAATTATGGTCGTGAGTCCGAGAAAGGGCAATCCCTGCGTTAACCTTAAATTCCCTGGGTTTAGTAGGGATCATGATGGCCTACCCCTGTCAGGTTAGGGAGCTCCTGGACAATCCTTAGTACGTAAATAGTACATTGTGTACCTTATCCATCCCTGGTTGTCTCTGTCAAGCTAGATAATAATATGAGAACTAGTAAATATACAGCTTAAGCCTGATCACTTCGGATTAAGGGTGGACCGCGATTATCATTATTATATCATATCTGTTCGGTTCCATAGTAGTAAACCTATCTTTTAAGAATTCCCATTATTAAACGGTTCTGTAGAAAAAAAAATCAATATTATTAGCTTCCTAGCGTTAAAGAATGCTTATTCTTACAATGTGGTGTAGAATTTGCACTCTTCAACGCTCAGACCGTGTAAGAATGGAAATTATTACTGTCAGAGAGGCATGTATATTCTTGCACACTCCGAGCATTAATGAATGGAAATTATTTAACTAGTTGAAGAATATTCATTCTTATATTGATCTTTTCAACATGGATCAATATTGATATTAACTTTACTTTTTTGTACTGACAGCATTCACACTCACCTTGTTTTTTTTATATTAATACATGTAAAGTTACCTTTTCATACTTTAACAAAAGGTTTACTTGCCTTTTCATGCTCACTTACCTTTTCATGCTAACTTACCTTTTCATACATTTACAGCATGTTTACTTACCTTTTCATGTTCAATTACCTTTTCGTTTTTAGAAGTATTGATATACTTTAATGCAGGAATTTCCATTTAAATTTTAACCCTAGTCCTGACAGAAGAGTGGAGATGGGGGACCACAACCCCCTGTGTTTAATTAACATTACAGTCATTAACAATAATTCAGAGGACGTTCAAATATTCTGACCATTCCTAAAAAAATGTTGGACATTAAAGAATACATCAAGATTATTTCATCTCGTTTAAGAATTTCTATCATTACATTTTTTTCCTTAAGGTTATCATATTATTTATAAACTACATTGTACAATATTCAGGATATATATATATACTGCATACATGATATTGCATATATTTAAATCTAATGTCTTTAATTATCAGGTTCAGATTCATCTTTGGGTCGACGAGAGAAAGCTAGACGCCGGAACCTGAACAAAGACGACCTGTTGTTTAATGACCTGGATATGCCCGGGGGTATGAGTGAATCCTTGATGCTTCCTCCCAAGGTTGTATCCAGACTGCCAAAATCTGTGAGCGCCCTAAACGGAGGTCACCAGGTAAACGCCTTATTATAAGCATAATTTTTATCGTTTAGATTTACAATTTGTAAATATATTTTATTGAAGGATATGCTAATAATCATAACAATTTAAGGTTCCATTTTCCCGGAGTTTAAGCTTTACTCGGGCTCCAACTAATCCTATGGTTAGAAGTTATAGCTTTACAAAGGTAAAATTAATACAAGGAGATTTATGAGAGTTGATCTCGTTGACAGAGGGGCACTATTTTGCATAGGCTAATTTTTTTTCTGAATGAGAGAAACATTTTTTTTAATTGAAAATATTTTTTTACAAAAATTGATTTTTGAAATAAGGATCAAGCCTTGGTTATTTTGTTTTCCTAATTTAACGTTCGATGTCAACAATAATTTTAATATTATGAATCTATTCGTGTATTTATTATTAGCGTGAATATACTTTTGATTTTGCCTACAATATGAAACGTCCGTTCGCCGTAAATCTGATAATATTATTATTAGTATTTTAAATAAAATTATTAATTATTAAGAATCCTGGTCCTGAGAGCTTGATGACGATGTCGATGGATCAGGCAACACTAAGCCGGTTAGCTCCTGTATTCCAACCTAGCCCAGTTCTCACTAGACGATCTTTAGATAGACCCAGGTAACCATCAAATACACCAAATACATGTTACTGCCAGGAAAATTGTTCCAGGATGTTACCTCCCCCCCCCTTAAAATATTTTATCATCTGTCATCATCTAGAACCAGTACCAGCTCACTAAATATTTTGAATTTTCATAAAAATTTTCGTTTGATTTCAATTTCGTCATGTGTAAGTGTGTATTTTACTCTCCAAGTCTTCCATGAAAGTTGACCGTTCTTATTTATTTATTTATTTAGTATCCGGAAATACAACTCTGCTCTTCGTTTGGATGAATCCCCTCCGGGTTCCCCTTCTGCTTATAGGTAAGAAGGACAGGACAGTGCACTGCAGTACTGCACAGAACAGCGATCAGTATATAAAGCACAGCTCAGTACAGTACAGTACAGTACAGTATAGTACAGTACAGTACAGTACAGTACAGTACAGTACAGTACAGTACAGTACAGTACAGTACAGTACAGTACAGTACAGTACAGTACAGTACAGTACAATGCTATAAATAATTTAGAAGGAAAAAGCTAGATTTCTCAAACATGAATTTATGTTTGTTTACTGTTTAGGCGGTCGAACTCAAGGGAGGAGTCCTCAGGGAAAAATGTTTTCTCCCGACTTATTGCAGGTAAAAGTTTTATTCAAGAATTATATAAATTTTGAAAATTTATTAAAGTTTGTTGAAACCTAGCATCTGCTGCTGACAGTGTACATTGATAGAAAACCATTATTCACTAAATATATATAAAATTAAATTGAACAGGAATTTACATTATAAAATGTTAAGTTACATTACATAAACGGTTACACATTGTAACAATTATTTTATACTTTTATTAAGGACAATTGACAATTTATTTCTACTATTTCGGATCTAAGTAAACTAATATTTAAGTCATAAAGGGATTGTCTACGAAATATTAAAAGTAATATAGTTAAGGAATCTTACTTCTATCGGATGTTTCTAAAATGATAAATTCTTATTTCAGGGACTAATATTGGAGAGAAACAAAGTCACAGTAAAGGGAATATAAACCCCTACCAGGGTAGGATTGGAGGGAAGAGTCCTCTTATCTGTACTCATGTTGCTGAAGGACATAATAGGTAGGCTACCAGGCATACCAGCAATCCATAGTATAGATATTTGATAAATATAAACCCCTACCAGGGTAGGATTGGAGGGAAGAGTCCTCTTATCTGTACTCATGTTGCTGAAGGACATAATAGGTAGGCTACTAGGCATCCCAGTAATCCCTAGCATAGATATTTGATAAATTATAGATTCTGTAAAGGGACTGTTATAAACTTCATGTCCAGTAAACCTCAATGAAATTATTTAATGCCTCACAATATCCAATTTTTTCTTTGATACCCGCAAGTCACTTTTATCGAGAATAAATTAATTGTTTTGAAGGTACCTTTGTGTGTCGGACATGCCACTCTATAAATGGAGGTTCAATTTCTTACGTCTACAGTATCTTTATTGTAGGGAAGAATATTGAAAATATTCTCATTAAATTATTCTAGAACTAGCTGCACTTGATATTGCGTTGTAAGTCTGTTATGAACCAAGTGCCTCATAAATTATTTATATTTGTGAATGAAAAGTAATTAAATATAAAACATACATAATGAATATTTGAATGGTTAAGATTACATTATTTTAGGTCTGTTTTCATAATTTTAGATTAATTTGCCTTTATTATTAGACCTGTGCTTTCTGTGTTTGCTACAGATGAGCTTCTGTTCAGTGCTTCTAAAGATCAAACTGTCAAGGTAAATTTCTTCTTAAATATCATTTGATAAAACTTAAAATTAAGCGAGTTCAAATTAAAACTTTTGTGTCGTTAATCCCTGAATTAACCAGTTATCTGTATAAATTTCTTCGTCCGAACGAAGATTCAATTAATTCCTCTTGGATAATCCATGTTCGGAACCCATAACTTTAAATCAAGGGATTAAGGGCTTAAAATTTAAGAGATGTCGTGGTGGAATATCGGATATCGAGATTAAGCTTTGTAGAAATTAGTGCTCTTACACACAAATGTGTTGACCTCTGTTCATATTGTGATTTAGTTGTATTAAGCCGTAAATCATTAATGAATATAAGTTGACCTCTAACTGAACTATAAAATGACCTCCTGTATGTAGGTGTGGGATCTATGTAGAGGAGAGGAGGTCCAAAGCCTGGAGGGACATCCTAACAATGTTGTTTGTGTCAAGTATAGTGAACCTCAGAGGATTGTATACACAGTTTCATCAGCTTTTATTAAGGTAGTAATTCGTCTTGGAAGGACAAAAAATTATGGAAACCCATTCTTATTTATGTACTTGACGTTTTCTTTTTGGAAAGGGGCAAACTTAGTTATTTTTTTGGTCATTAGTACCGTTAAACATCATCGTAATGTCTTGGCAGCGGGAAAAAAAGATATTTGTATCATTAAATTTTTTAATCCTTATGACAAGAATTAAAAAGTAGGGTGTTTTTAGTTCATTGTTAAAAATATTTCTTAAAATGATAATTTTCCAGGTTTGGGATCTGAGAATGAAACCGTCCGCTTGCATCAAAACATTAAGTTCCTCAGGTATTTTTTTTTTGCTGGTTAGTTTGTACAATTACTGCTTGTTTACAATGGAGATTGTTATTATCTCAGATGTCGTCTCATTTTTAAATTAAATTACTTAAAGAATTATTATAAATGGCGTGTATGGTTATCTATTATTTATATTTAGCAACAATTTTATGAAATTATAAACAAAGAAATTAAATGTCGTCTTTATTTAAACTTTCAATTTCAGGATTAACAACCAACGGTCCTGTAGTTTTAAACAATGGCAGCTCTTCCTCTAGGTAACAGTCTGATAATACCTTTAATTATTGATAGTCCAATAAAGCACATTCTTCGTACCATTGTTTAAACGTGTTTTTTTAGTCCTCACCCTAAATATTTAATCGGAGTCAAAAACTATTAAGAACGAAAAAAAACTTAAATGTAAAGTGCCGCGCGTGACCTAAATTAAACCTTAACCTAAAGCTTTAGCTTTAATATTTAACTCACTGAAAGCCATGAGTTAAATATTTAATCCTGGGAAACCCCCGCAGTCTCAATATTTTTTATCAGTCAATTATGATTCTATTGATAATGTTGCGGTGCTTTCGTATTCATTTAGCCCATTTTTTGATGTACTATATGAGTGTGGGATTAAATGTAAATTAATTCTGAATTCATTATTTTACAGAACGTTTAAGCAATAGCTTAAACCTTGCGCGTTTTTAAGATTTGGACTCTGTACTGTACATTGTATCGTCTTATATCCAACATGTCATGGTACTTCGCCTGTATGTTGATTTCTACAAATTACATGTCCTGCTCGCTGAAAATTAATGCCCGGTGAAATAGATATTAGATGTAACACATATTACTTAGTTATAAAATCTCTCCTCCGGCTTCATTTTTACTTGACTGGTCCGAAAAACATCAAGTAATTGTCAGAAATAAAAACTTTTAAATCTAAAAATAATCATATTTTCTCCATTATTGTTAAGAGAAAGGTTTCATGGATACCGTTGTGAATCGGGCATTGCCATCTTTGTATGAAAGGGCACTTGAAATTTCGCTTACAGTCCCTTTAAATTTGACTTATAATTCTGATTGTCTATTAGGAGTCTAGCTATGCCTCCTGGAGAGACAGCTATCAATGATATCTGTTTAACTCCGTCAGGATACGGTCTCTTCTCAGCAGCTGCAGATAAGGTAAATGGGGGTAGTACAGTGGTATTCAGAAAACTGTGAAACTATTTTCTTTAAATAATGTTCTTTGCTCATATATATATTTGTATATATGTATCAATGTATATACAGGGTCACCCACAAAGGATGAGACTAAAGACAATCGGAAACTCTTAAAATGTGATGATTTAGAGGTTAAATTATGTATTCTACCTTAGATATAGTGGAACATAAAGGATATATACGTTCTTGAAGTTATCAAATGTTTTTTTAATCATTTGGCAAAGAAACAAACACGTTTACAGTTGCAAGGAATCGTAAATATAAGAAAACAGACAGTAAAAATTCCGTACAATCGTCTCTGAAGTGTCCTTCTTTGTGGGTAACCCTGTATTTATATATGTTGGATATAGCTGGCCAAACGGCTGGACCGAATTGACGAAACTCATGGGTACCTTGGCCCGGGGGTAACATAGAATAAAATATCAAAATTTAAAAATGTTGCTGAGAGAGATGTAATTTGTATTGTTATAACTGCATTATTTCTGGAAATGTTCAGAGCTGAAAACTTTAGAATGTGGATATCGAGATCAATGCTTGATCTGTCTTTTTGTTAATCTGCAGATTAATACAACCTTTATTTCGATATCCAGAAAAGTGTAAAATTCAGCCACAGTAAATTCTGACCAGATTATTGGTGAAAACTCAGCAGGGATATCCAAGAGAGAGGATTAACAAGAAAAAATTCCACAGTGGATATTTATTTTTCAGGTTAAGCGATCAGGATTAAGGGGATCAGGACGCATTGTAACATTCATAAGTTTTGGTACACGACAGTCTTATTGTTTAGGTTCGTATCTGGGATCTCCGTAAGTTCCACTCTATCGGTAAACTGTCCGGGGGGCACCAGGCAGCCATTATGTGCCTTGCTATTGGTCCCACCAGGGACCTTGACAACAACTACGTCATCACTGGATCTAAGGACCATTATATCAAGGTACATTTCACAATGTTTGGCCGACTTCGGTGGATTTTTGTAATTTTGTTTAGATTTTTGAATTTTACATTGTAATCCCTCCTAAAATGATTTTTTTATTTATTTAAAACAATTCATTCATTTATTTAAAAAGATTTGTAATACTCTAATTTGATGAGAGAAAAGGGGAGTAATTCCTCCTAAATTCATTTTAAGGAGTAAAATCCCTCCTCAATTAATGTTAGGGGTAAAATCCCTCCTAAAAGGATTTGTTTAGATATTTGAAGTTCCTGAAGGGAAAGGAGGAGTAATCCCTCCTAAGATGAACTTGAATCCCCCGCACTATGATGGGATCCAATGCATGACGGTGTTAGGAGATACTTTGTTCTCAGGTTAGAGCAGACTAGTTTTTAATGGGATTGTTCTCAAAAAAATGGAATGTGAATAGGCTAAACCAGAATTTAATTCGGAACATATTTGTTCAGAGTCCGACTTAAAACATAAAGAGTTAACAATTTAAGAACTTTCTAAGATAATATTATTCAAACTGAAGATCTAAAGGAAAAATGTAATTTTTTTAATTAAGACAATTAAATGTTTAAGTACCATATTTAAAATTGCAGCATATTACATAAATTGAATATGCTGTATATGTTGTAAAGAAACTTTAGTTTTTTATTATAATTGTTCTATAAAAATATTTTTATTGTATGTTTATATATTCAGCATCACGTGACACGTGTATAAAGAAGTGGAATCTACGAAGTCAAGAATTAGTAAAATCATTAAATAATGCTCATAAAGATTGGATCTGTGGTCTCTCCTTCCTACCAGGTTAGAGAACTATATCAAGATTATATATTGTACAGAACCCCCCCCCCCCCATTTATTCTTTTACTCAAAAAGAACTATTTCGCCCTGTGAAACCGGGCGTAAATACTAGGAGATGACATTAAAAAATAATAGAAGAAAATTATATAACGAAATAATAAGCTGATTTTAAAGAAGATTAAAAGTAAAAAATAAATTAATGAATGAATACATAAACAAACGAATAAATTAATAAAATAGTAAACAAATAAATAAATAAATTAATTATTGAATATTTGAAAAAAACAATAAAAGAATAAATGAAGTGATGTATAAATGACTAAATGAATACATGAATAAAATATGGATTAAATGTATAAAATCTAGAAGAGAATGTAGTTATATCTGGATGTCGAGGTGGAAGTATTAAATGAATAAATGAATGAAAGATGGAAAATGAATAATATCTAGGAGAGAATGTAGTTATATCTGGATGTCGAGGTGGAAGTATTAAATGAATAAATGAATGAAAGATGGAAAATGAATAATTTCTAGGAGAGAATGTAGTTATATCCGGATGTAGAGGTGGAAGTATTAAATGAATAAATGAATGAAAGATGGAAAATGAATAATTTCTAGGAGAGAATGTAGTTATATCCGGATGTCGAGGTGGAAGTATTAAACTCTGGAATACGGATACATGTGCTCTAGTTGGAGAGATGAAAGGTAGGATATATCTAGTTATTGAGTACATCTTGTCCAGATCAGTCAGGTGTAATGATGGCCATAAGTTTTTGTTCACCTTATTATAATTCAATTTATCTTTGACATAAAGCTCCAGTAAATTTTTTAAAAATTAAAATTTTTTTGGTTTCGTTATAAAAGTTTAGGACGAAGTCGAACCAATCGGTTGTCAAGACGATTTGAAAAATTGACTTATTTTAGAAAAGAAACATATTACATATCACCCTATTAGTGAACAATGCCTTGTATTCTTTTTTTTTAAATCATTCAGATTGTTAACAGTGATATTACGAAACATTAAATTAATTATAATTATATTTCAGCTCACAACTCTTCCATCAACACCATCACAACCAACTCATCACATATATTTACTGCTTCCAATGACGGGCATATAGGTACAGTACAAGTAGTTCTATAAATAATGTTTGTCAAACTTAAGTGCGTCCTCATTTACATGTGCGTCATAATTTTTTGTGCATTACTATTAAAGTTTGATCATTAGTGTGTCCGAATGTTCTGTCATTTTTTATTTTATTCCATTGTATTTTCAAGGTAATGAAGTGACCATTTAACTAAAATGTTGTCAGCGAAATGAACCCTTTTCTAATTGTTTTGCTCATCTCTTTCTTTTAAAGTCAAAGAAATTGAGTCTTTGCAATAAATCCCAATTTTCTAATACCTATATATCTCCAACCAAATTATGTAAACATTAGATATTTCAAGCTTTGATTGTTTGATATAACAGAAGTCATAGTTTGTAATATGTATAGTCTACAACATTGGGTTGTTAATATATAGGGATTTAAAAATCAGAGTATGTGGCAAAAATTCAATTCCTTTGTGTCAGTGTCGCAATTTTTTTACTAGAAAATCATTTTTGAAATAATTGAATAAAGTTGTTACGCGAGCCATGCTGCGTGAAGAAAGTCTGTTTATCGCCCCTGCGTATTTCTGAGTTTCTCCTGAAGATCTGTACGGAATG